CTAAGCTTCCGGTGGAAACTGGCGCATTTCCGTTATTTGTGTCAGGTAACCCTCACTCAGCTCTTGTGTGCGAGTGTGAGTGTGTGTGAGTGTGTGTGAGTGTGAGTGTGTGAGTGTGTGAGTGTGTGTGTGTGTGTGTGTGTGCGCAGCGGACAGGAATGCGAGGAAGCAGCTGATGTTTATGAAATAATGCCGGACTATATTTAGCGCTATTGACTGCATGTGAAGGTGTTCGGATCGGTTCTGACTGCAGGTTTCCCCGCTGCATGTGTGTGTTGTGACTGTGCAGCAGTGTCTGATGGCTGGCAGACAGACGGAGAGATTACAGAAGGAAGCCTTGCACAGTTCTGCATGTTGATGATTTCTGACAGCTGTGTGTTTGGAGTCTTGTTCTCTGAATGATTGCAGGTCATGAGAATCTGTCAGGCGTGTTTCTAACATCATGTCTGATACCTGCAGCTTTATTTACTTTTTGATTGTTTTGATTCATATCAATCATTTATATGATATATGACTGTTGTTTTTGGGTTTCTCATCTGAAGCGAAAGAGAGCAGAGGACACCTGTGTGACAGGAAGTTGTGTTCTTCTCACTTCCTGCATGCGCTGAGGTGTAACTTTCTCCTGGTTTACTGTGATTCCAGTGTAGTTCTGTATTCATGAGATCCGTAATGTCACTTGACTCAAACATCATCTGGAGCATTTATGAGCCTCAAACACCCTTTTAATGATTCTCTGTGTTAGTGATGACATTTGATTCTTATAAGTGCAGCAACACACACACACTGGATTAACACACAGTCCTTAAAGGGATAGTTCACCCAAAAATGAATATTACTCCATGATTTACTCACCCTCAAGCCATCCTAGGTGTGTATGACATTCTTCTTTCAGACGAATCCAATCGGAGTTATATTAAAATCATCCATGCTCTTCCAAGCTTTATAATGGCAGTGGATGGGTGTTATTTTTCAGTAGTCCAAAAGAAGTCCAATAAAGCGCATCCATCCATAATAAAAAGAGCAGAGGAGAGATCAAAACAAAAAGCCGGTCATGAATTAGAAGCACTAAACGAGGATTTGTAAAGAAAAATGTGGGAGGATTTCCGTGTAAGCCAAGAGGAGACTGGTTTTTCTTTGCTTTCTTTGCTCCTGTAAACAAACGCTGGTTCTCGCGAGACTAGCATATTCTCACCGGAGCTTCCTCCGTCATCCGCCGGAACGGTGTTCTGTTGTGAACGTACGACAGTTAGCGGAAGCTACAGATTACTGTTTGCAAAGTTTTAAATATGTATATTTTTCTTACAAAAGCGCATGGATTCGCTGCAGGAGGCCTTTATTCACCCCCTGGAGCCGTGTGAGGCACTGTTTATTATGGATGGATGCGCTTTATTGGACTTCTTTTGGACTACTGAAAAATAACACCCATCCACTGCCATTATAAAGCTTGGAAGAGCATGGATGATTTTTAATATAACTCCGATTGGATTCGTCTGAAAGAAGAATGTCATACACACCTAGGATGGCTTGAGGGTGAGTAAATCATGGAGTAATATTCATTTTTGGGTGAACTATCCCTTTAAATAGATCTGAGCGGCGATCGAGCAGCAGGACAGACACGCACGCGTCTGATGATGATCACAGACTTAACAAACTGCTGCGTCCGCTGTGTTTTTATGTGAGTTTGTGCGAGTCTCGTCCTGACCGCTCGTGTCTGTTTGGACGGACGACAGCAGCTGGTCTCTCTTCACCGGTTAAAGTTAGCCGCGGCATCTGATCTGCACAGCCGGTTAAACTCAAACCCATCTCAGCTCTTCTCACTCTGTGTTTCTGTGTGTCTTGCAGGTAATGCGATGGTCTCTGCGGCCCGGCCTGAGCTCCAGGTGCTTCGATCTCGCTCCCTCAGCTGCTGGAAACGCCCTGCTTCTCTAGATTCTCGCCCGGCTCCTGCCACATAAACAGACAAGATTGCAAAGATCTGCCCCGCATCGAGCATGACGGCCACCACCCGCGGCTCTCCCGTTGGGGGCAACGAGAGCCAGAGCCAAGCGCCAGACGCCCAGAACCAGACCCAGACCCTGCTGCCCCAGAACCAGGTGAGAGAGAAGGGCTGTGGTGCACGTGACGTCACACTCTGTAACAAGCATAAAATACAAATTTTTGTATACAAATGCAATAATAGTAACAGTTGCAATAGAATTCGGTAGAGATGGGCGATATGGGCTTTAAAATATATCACGATAATTTCTGCCATTTATTGCGATAACGATATCAATGACGACAATCTTATGCATCCACTTATATCTTATGCATTCTTTAGAGAAAAGTATTATCTTTCCTATTTTTACCCATTTTGGGTGTTGTGAGCATTACACACGTCATGTAATGAGTGTTTAATTCACACTGGAGGCCGGAGGGCGCCCTCGCGCAGAAAATCCACACATGCATCACAGAAGTAATACTACTGATGAGGTTCCAGGAAATCCCTAATATGGACAAAGGTATCCAGTTATTGCTGAATAAAACTCAGATAGAGAGATTTTAACTGAGGAAACTTGAAGACAATAAACATACGATTGCAACAATACATGATTTATCTGTGTTGTTCTAGCAATCTTGGGTATTTTTATAAGGATAAAGTATATTTCTAATGCAATGCTAATCGACATAGCTTTTAGCACTTTATACAATACTACAAAATAGTATAATTTCTTCCTCATTCTGTGACATGAAACCACGTCTGGTCACAAAAAGTTATTTCAAACACTTGACTTATGTTATTAAGTTAATTTGGAGAAAGCAAATGATATCTTTGTTGGACAACAGGTTTGTAAACGGGCTCATACACAGGCAAAACTGTGCTACTGTAGTACATTTATTCAAGGCTCAGACCGATTTTTTGTTGCACTGTACAGGCCTGACCAAAATATATGAAATTGTTAATGTGGTTTTCATTTTTATAATTAAATTAATTTATTTAAAATTGACTGAAAATGCCTTCCATATTATATATATATATATATATATATATATATATAAAACAATATGTCATAGTTTTCAAAAGTCTCTGTCTTGGTCTGTTTTCAAACTAAAACAGGGTCTTCAGCGTTTTCAAAAGTCTCTGTTTTTGAGGGTCGAAAACGCTATAGCAAAAGTTATGCATTTTAAAACAAAAATGCACTAGTGTAAACGTAGCCTTAGTCAAGCTCTATTTGTTTTATTATTATATGCTAGACCTGCTGATCAGTGTTCCTCCGTATTAACCAGAGCATCAGTAAACTGCATAAAGAACTTCCTGTCGTTCCGCTTCCGCCTGACGTTGTGCTGTTGTGTTTAGACGCCCTCACCAAACTCCTCCAATGAGACGTCTTCCATCAGTCCACCAGAGGAAGCAGGGCAGGGAGAAGCCCCGCCCACACAGGAAGAGGAGGAGCCTGCCTTCCCCCACACAGACCTGGCCAAGCTGGACGACATGATCAACCGGTCAGCAGCGGCGCCACCCTCAGACTGTGCTTCTCTCTGTGTGGAGTTAATGTGCTTTAATGTGGTTTAATGTGGTTTCCTGTGGTTCAGGCCGCGCTGGGTGGTTCCGGTCCTGCCCAAAGGAGAGCTGGAGGTTCTGCTGGAAGCTGCTGTAGATCTCAGTAAAAAAGGTCAGAGGTCACAGATGAGTGATCAATCAGAAGTGGATGGGATAGGGCTGCACGATAAATCGAAATGAAATCACAATCACGATTAGACAGAAGCTGCGATGCGTATTGAAGCAGGGTTCTGTGATCAGCAGTAAATCTTCATCTGAAGGCCAGAGAAACTCCAAATACACCTCGCAGAAAAAACCCAGGCAAACCCTATAGCGCTAGCTGAATAAAATATATGGTTTATCTGAGTTCTTATTATAACTAGATAAAAAAGTTTGTCAAGACAAAACATGAAATATGTTGCGTGTCTAATTCTGTGTAAGAAGCCACACCATCTCACTGAAGGATTTACTTCAAACACTCGACTGACGTTATGAAGTGAGTTTGCAGTAAAAACACGTTATTAAATGTACACTGTAAAAAATTATTGTGATTTTTAACAGTCATAGTTTTCAAAAGTCTCTGTCTTGGTCTGTTTTCAAACTAAAACAGGGTCTTCAGCGTTTTCAAAAGTCTCTGTTTTTGAGGGTCGAAAACGCTATAGCAAAAGTTATGCATTTTAAAACAAAAATGCACTAGTGTAAACGTAGCCTTAGTCAAGCTCTATTTGTTTTATTATTATATGCTAGACCTGCTGATCAGTGTTCCTCCGTATTAACCAGAGCATCAGTAAACTGCATAAAGAACTTCCTGTCGTTCCGCTTCCGCCTGACGTTGTGCTGTTGTGTTTAGACGCCCTCACCAAACTCCTCCAATGAGACGTCTTCCATCAGTCCACCAGAGGAAGCAGGGCAGGGAGAAGCCCCGCCCACACAGGAAGAGGAGGAGCCTGCCTTCCCCCACACAGACCTGGCCAAGCTGGACGACATGATCAACCGGTCAGCAGCGGCGCCACCCTCAGACTGTGCTTCTCTCTGTGTGGAGTTAATGTGCTTTAATGTGGTTTAATGTGGTTTCCTGTGGTTCAGGCCGCGCTGGGTGGTTCCGGTCCTGCCCAAAGGAGAGCTGGAGGTTCTGCTGGAAGCTGCTGTAGATCTCAGTAAAAAAGGTCAGAGGTCACAGATGAGTGATCAATCAGAAGTGGATGGGATAGGGCTGCACGATAAATCGAAATGAAATCACAATCACGATTAGACAGAAGCTGCGATGCGTATTGAAGCAGGGTTCTGTGATCAGCAGTAAATCTTCATCTGAAGGCCGGAGAAACTCCAAATACACCTCGCAGAAAAAACCCAGGCAAACCCTATAGCGCTAGCTGAATAAAATATATGGTTTATCTGAGTTCTTATTATAACTAGATAAAAAAGTTTGTCAAGACAAAACATGAAATATGTTGCGTGTCTAATTCTGTGTAAGAAGCCACACCATCTCACTGAAGGATTTACTTCAAACACTCGACTGACGTTATGAAGTGAGTTTGCAGTAAAAACACGTTATTAAATGTACACTGTAAAAAATTATTGTGATTTTTAACAGTAAAAGACTAAAAATGCTACAATAAAAACCTGTTAATTGATTATCAGTAAGTTTCCATACTATATACGGTGAATAACTGTAATTACATTTAATACAGTAAAATACTGTTAAAATTACGGTTTTTGGCAGTGAAAAAGAAAAAGTCATTGTATAATTTACAGTGAAAAACTGTAAATTGACACTCCCAGAATTCCCTGCATGACACTTCATATTTTATGTTTTTTCGTTGAAATAACTATGTTTCTTCTTAGTTTTTCCTTATCAGTTGTGTACATTAGTGTTTTATCTTACATCTAATGTTGTTAAATTAATGTTTATTGCATTATTTCAGTATCATGTGTGTTACCATGATGGTGTTTAGTGTTTGTGTGAATGACACTGAGCACCTTCTATGTATATGTATTAGTATTTCCCTTCTCAGCTTTTGGAAGAGCTGATTGTGATGAGCTTTGATTCATCATG